ACTGGAAAAGCTGTTGATAAAAATTGTTCTAGCCCAGATGGAGCCTCTCATTGTGTGGTTTCCTTTCATCTGAAAATAGATGTTTCTCTGTGGCACAAAGTCTTTTATTTCTTCACCTCTTTAGTTACAATGCAGAAAACATCGACCAACACAGACCTGGCTGAAATAAAAATAGTTTGGAATGTCACGTAAGTCCCACATTGTAACGCATGTGTCAACAATTGTCTGGCAAATGGTGAAGCGACAAGTTGGAGTTATCATGAGGTAAATTCAGCTTTATACATCACTTCAGAGAGAACAGTCTGCCGTGATTTGATTCAGCACATGGGGAACATACAGTAGTTGCAGGGCAGATACTTCTTGTTAACTACGTCTGAATGGTTTAGTAATTCCTGATAAGCTTAGAGGAATCACATACTGATGCAATTGAGAGGTCTGAAGTACAGTGGACCATTCATATGGACCACAAAGAGGCATTTGCTGCTAATCACTCCCACCTTGTACAACAGTGAAATAATCCACTGAGGCATTAAATGTTGAAATCTAAGACAGATGCTGAATGTAATAGGGCAACAGAAGGCATGAGGGCAGCTGGATCAGTCAAATGTCTGCAAGTACCAAACCAAATCATCTGTCCTGAGCAAGTTCAACCCAGATGCTCTATGTCATAGGCAAATCCAAGCCAAAAAAGGGTACGGATAACATACAGCCAACTGCCTGTGAGCTGCCATGACTGCAGCAGAAAGGACTGTGGACAGCGCTGAGGTCATGCGCCTGTTGAGCAGATGTTGCCCCGCACGACCCAAACCACGCTTGGTTCGGCAACACTGAAGAACCGCCCCTCGTCCTTTCACAAACAACAGGCCTCTTCATATTTAACTGGCTAATTTGTCCAGTTGTGTAAATTGCAGCGTTTATGGCTCGGGTGTAGTAAACAGGCAGATTGCTTGGCAGCCTTTTGTTGGGTGTAATCATGTCTGCGATCGACTGACTGCAGCTGGTCAACATTTTTGGCATTTTTACAGTAGACTGTCATAATTTTCAAAATGCCAAGCATCACAAGCGGGGTGACAACATACAACACCCAAGTTGTCAGATAAAGAGGCCCTTAGCTTGGCACTGCCACTGTATTGCACACATCCAAGATACTTCAAAGTCATACAAAAGCCATTGTATGCAAAACCTAATCCCGAAAGATCTGGAACACACCACTAGTCTGGATACACATACCCAAATCTCCGGGTTTGAGTATGAAGTAGTGAGGCTATGTTAAGATAACAAATCGGTTGAGTCAGTGGGCCGAGTTAACCACAGCCACCTACTGTGAGATAAAACTCCCCAAGGATATCTGTATAAAGAAATGGGTCAGAATCTGTGTGTCAACCGTTAAAGTGAGAAATATCACATTTTCCTTCTTACAAATGAAAAGGTTCATTCTTAAACAATAAAACACGCCCTTGCTCGATTTAATACACTCAGGGGCAGAGGTGGGCAAAGTCCACAACTCCTTGGTCAAATCCAAAACAAGGGAAAGTTGTTCAGTCAGATTTTTACTCCAGTACTTGATTTAAAAAAATATTCAAAAGTACTTTATGTCGACACATTGTTGTATTGTTACACATTTACAGAACCTAATGACTGAAACAACCTACTGAATGAACTGACTGACTGTAGAACCTGGAGAATAAAGAGCTTGTAAAATATGATACAAAGCTGATAAAAATGGCCATAAAAACATAAAACTGAATCAACAAAAGGAGCCATTGTCATTTCATATTTCCTTTTTCTTTAAGGCAGTGATGAAGTTTGGTCGTGGTAAACACAGCAAACATTTAGAAAACTGAATGAAATTTTATTTCTAAAATTTCAAACATGGACTTAGATAAGGCCATGGATGCTCTAGTGAAGAATATTCTTGGTCAATCACATTTTCAAAATAAAATACAATTCATTCTACTGACTAAAAGCTGCTTCAAAGTAACAAGTACTTCATAGAAATGCAGTGGAGTCAAAAGTACAATATTTGTCTTTTAAGTGCAGTGGAGTTTCCAAAAACAATACTACTCATGTAAAGTACAGAAACTGGAAAAATAAACTTAAGTACAGCTCATGGTGGCAAAAGTTGGCTAATTAGACTACTAAAACTAGTTAAAACTTTTAGTAGGATTTTAACTGCATTATGACAGTATTGTAAAGAAAAGATTTATGTTTTGGAAAAGAAACTGAATGGCTATTGTTTTTTTTTTTTATTTTATTTTATTTCAGTGAGTCACAGGCTCAAGATGTACGAGAACTGACCTGATGCAACTGCACATTATGCTCACATTTCTGTCTGTGTTTCTCATTTGGAACCCAAATGGTATGCTGTTATACAAATCAGACTGTGAGGATTGCTTGGTGTGTTTTGCACTACTGACCATATTTCATCAAATGTGAAAAGGCAAAGGCTTCAAGCCTGTTTTTATTAGTCACAGAGGAGCACAGAGAACCACCACCGGTGCTCCCACAAGCATCTGTTTAGTGGTATTTACTGGTAAAAAGGAGTTACCCGGTGAACACAGGACCTCAGGCGTCTGCCAAATGTAACTTCAAAGTGGGTCATGTAAATGAGAAGGAATGATCTACAACAATGGGTGCACACATTTACTATGGAGCAGTGGCTGGGGAAGGTGGAGGTGGCAGGGCAGCCTTAATGAGAGATCACATCTGAGAATCAAAGCTTCTCTCTCTCTTGCTCTCCTACAGGTTGGCATCAGGCCTCCTCACTGCAGCATCACATGCTGTGGTGAGTCTGTGCTTCAGTCTACAGATGGTACCTTATATGGCAGCAAGTACTGCAGAGAAGAGTTCTGTCGGTTTGGGGCTTATGAGCACTGCTTCAGAGAGCTTATACAGCATGAAGATGATAGATGACAGCCAGCATATATTGGCCAAGTTCAATGTCCATGCAAACAAGATGAAGAAAACAATATGATATCATAGTATGGTTCAAAAAGAATCATATAAAACGGCTTTGGGAGCTAAAATCATTAAGATATTCACCATTACAGATAAATGTAAAAAGCATAAAATGCACTACAACGGTTGGTGCTGTGTTTCAGTATTGGTGCAGGCCATTGTAAAAGTCTATTCATCACATCCGTCGTCATCAAAATAGGGAGGAGAAAGTGAAATGGCCCTCTCTGCTTTTATTGTCATCCCCTAAAAGGGTTGATCTCAGCATGTCGCAAAGTTTTCACACAGAGATTGGGTTTCCATCGTCTTACGGCTCTCAGCGAGGTGCACAAACAGCCTATGAAGAGTCTGGCTGCTGAAGGCAATTAGCAGCTGACTTGTTATAGTCAGAGTGGAGGGCTTGTGGGAAAGAGTGGAGGATCCAACGAGATCTAAGTAGGTCAGTGGGACCTATAGCGGAGCTTTGGAGGACTTGTATAGACCTCCCTCACACTCAACTCAAGGGGCCTCTTTAACTCTGCCAGTTTTTAATGGGGTTCAATAGCTGTAGCACCACAAGATTAAAAAAAAAAAAAAACAATAGAAAAATCTCGACGCACTCCAGCCCCAACTCCTCCCTGAAAGAGGATGTGACCACAACAGTAGAGAGTTGAGCAAACAGGCTATAAAATCACCGGTCCAGCTTTTTGTGGTCCCTTTTTCCTTCTCCCATAAAAACCCACCACTTCATTTCAAAGACAGCTCCAGTCTCAACAATGGGTTGCAGATGTATAACCCAACAGTTCTCTGAGGTAAATTAGATGTTATCTACACATTGTAAATACTGTATGTCTAGACTTATAAACATATTTCTGTGCATACTGTATATATTATTGGCACAATTATGTTGAATTAAATTCAGGCTACTTTAAAGGAATAGTTCAGCATTGGGGGAGATATTCCTCTTTGCTCCCAACTTCGCAACCAATACTTCCAGTATTTATACAAAGCTAAGCTAATGGCCTCTTAGCTATTATGTCTATACTTAACACACAGATCAGAACATCAATCATCTCATCTTGGCTAGAAAGTCAATCAACATATTTCCCAAAACGTCAGACTATTCCTTTAAAGCAGTGGTTCCCAACCTGTGGGCTGAGGCTCGCTTCTAGGGTCGCAAAGATTTTCTCGAAAAGATATATATAATATATATATAATGTTTTTAAATGTTTTAAAATGGAAAATAAATGTTTAAAAACTCTTTCATTGTTTTTTTTTTTTTGTATGGAGGCTGATCACTGGCCTACCACTGACCACATCGTTTACTTGTTTGTTATCTCAGTCTGATTGCACACTAACAGATTACATCCATAGTATAAATTTGCGTATCAAAATGGATAGCTGGTTAGCAAAAAGAAAAAGAATAAAAAGGAAACAGAGGCAAGTCCCTCCTCGGTCAAACAAAAAAGAAAATCTGAGCTTCCTCTGTTTTCAGTTCAATCCTGAATGTTTGATCATTATCACTAAACCAAAAAGTGCTCTGAGAATGCAATATATGGCCTCCATATTGTTATGGGGTCAGATGTGGGCCACCAACATTTTTGAGATTTTAAAGTGAGCCATGAGTTGAAAAAAGGTTTGGAACCATTGCTTTAAAGAAAGGTTTGAATGGATGACCACATATCAAGTAGCTGACTGGGTATGAAAGGTCAGGGTGGCGCCAGTATTCCCACAGTGTAGCTGTCTATCTTCAGGGTGTGTATAATAGATTTCATAAGGAGACTCATTCCAGTGGTATAGTTTATAACATAGTAAAAAAAAAATGTATAAGTTGCATGGTATAAGTGATAATGCACTCTAAAGTGTTCCAAGATAGAAAATAATGCACTCAGTGGTGGAAACAGCAATTATTGTTTTATACTGGTTCACCTTGTTGCACATTATACCTTTAGACTTTCCTTAGAAATAATCTATTAAAAATAATTCTGTTTGATGGAAGCTTTTGCATTGGCTACTAACTAATTCAAATATTTCATTGGACAGAATGTAAGTTAAATCTACTGTACCTGCTCCACCCGGATCTCGTACTCTCCATTCAGCTTCTTCCCTCGGAAATACTTGGCCCTGCATGGGAAAATGAGACAAAAAAATCTTATTATAAAAATCTTTTATTTAGGTAGAATCAAATTTCAGAGAATAATCAGAGTGTAGAATATAAACACCTGTAATGCTTAGATTGATTTGTCTCTTTAGGTCATATATGTACTTCAACATGTGGATTCCTCTCCTGTACCAACAGTACAGTGTACGGGCGGCAAACACTACTAACAGTCAAAACAACCTTAAAATACCCTTTTGTTTATTTGATGGAAGGAGAGCTGAAATTTCAACAGACCTTCCAAAATACCTTGTGAACGGGCAAAATAATGACTCATATTTTCCATGATTACAGAATCTGACCTTGTGGGGCTTCGAGTCAACAGAATCCCTTGGCAGAGAATAAAATAAAGTGCTGTTAATAAGGACGACTCACTGATACTTTTTATTTTCTCTCCCATATTCTCGGTGACAGCAGTTTGTGGTCAAGGTGAAACTGAGGCTGTCTTAATGATCTTAGTGGATGTTTGCCTTGTAACAAGTTGATGACTTAGATTTTCACACAAACTCCCCAACAATATACAGAGCGAGGCAACAGCAAGGACATGGTTATCATTTGCAGCAATAAATCAGATAAATGTACTTTGGTGGGTAAATTTAGCTGGAAAAAACACAACAACATCTATTCCAGTTACACCGATGTCTCACACTGCTCTGACGTTTAGGAGCTTTGTGACGATCAAAAGGGGGAAAAGACAACTTTTTTAGCACTTGTTTGTTTGCGGTCTGTGAACTTGCAGTTACTGGAAGAGTTATCTCTCTAACCATCAGACCTGCAGTATTTAGACAGACCAAGAGACATATGTGGATTCACTGTGGTATTTAAAGATGGAGTATGTATACAGAAAAACCACAGTGGGAAGCTGACATTGTTTCAGTTAAACTTGATTTTTCTTTTACTGGACTTTTGCTATCGTGCCATCCCACCAGGGCTGAGTCAAAACCAGTCTCATTCAACTTCCTATGACTTGACTGTCTTCTCTACACTGCTCTTCTCCTCTGATGTTCAGACAGTTACCAAGACTAAGGGCGAGGCTGTACAGCAGTGCTACATGCTAAATGCTAATGTGAGCATGCATGTACATTTTTTCAATTTCAAAAAAATGTACATGCATGCACGAGGTGATTTTTCAGACTATTCCACAAAAGGATATTTCACAAAATTGAAATGGAAACACTTTCTTCGTATTCAAGTCGTTGCGCCTTGTTCCAACCGAGAGGCAGACTGCTGGAAGTCCGTCGTCATGTTTAATTGGAATGATATCGCGAGAGGAGAAAACGAATCTTTATTCGTATAACATAACTCAGTGGAAACACAGACCATTCACGATTGTGTTTTGTCGACTTTTCTTAAAAATCGCAATCTATTTTACACAAAACTGCACTGGAAACCCGGCAAATGTTACCTGATATAACGCTCTCCATGCTCACCGTCTACATTTAGCATCTAGGTATTCTGACATTTGCTAATTATCACTAAACACAAGGTACACCAAACCAAAGTGTTGGAGAAATTACAAATCGGATCTGACAATGGCACTAGAGTAAAAGTTATGGGATCACCAAAGTTTTTACAGTTGATTGTGAGGGGACCATGAATGTCGGGATCAAATTTAATGGCAATCCGTCCAATAGCTGTCGAGTCTGGACTGAAATGGCGGGCCAACCAACCAATCTCGAGCCTTACTATGCAACAGTGTTCATGGGAAAATAGTTCTTATTTTGGAGAAACTCTACAACTAAACATACTTGACAATGACTTAAATACTTAAAGATGGAGATCTCAGTTAGCTTGTTGATTTCAGATTCAAGCCATTTTACCGCTTTGTGTTTACAGCCATGTTGCGGCCCAGTGCTCTACAGGTCTCAGCGTTGAACTCTCACCCCTGACAGGCGTGGGACAGTTAACAATCTGTCAAGGGCTTCAGTGCTGGAGCTGTGTGTAGTGGAGGATGTAGGGTACATGCTGTGGCCCTTCGGTTACTGGGACAGGCTGTTTGGGATTTAGAGAGCCTCTCGACCTGCCCACACCGAAACACATTTTCCTTTTGCAGCGTTTTTCTCAGAGCCTATCAACAAACAAAGCCTCTTTCCTCCTCCACTTGTCTTCCCTGTGTCTGCCTATTTGTTTTTCATCCCCCTACATCTGTCCTGTCCAGTCCCTTCATTAACATTCATTACAGTCACTGAGGAGGATCTGGAAGTTAACATCTCCCAGCTGTGGGCCTTTAAAGTTTTGGGTCCCTTGCTGTCTCATTCTCTGTAATTTTGGAAGCCATGAATCTTCAGCATGACCTACATACTAGACAGGCAATGCCCCCTGTCACCCTGGACCACCACCATCACAGAGCATGAGGCAGGGTCCACAGGCTCACCGCTTAAAAATGACTGGTATGCATTTCAAGGTATTGCAAAACATGTCGTCACTCCGAGTGATCAATTTAATTTACAGGGCTCTCTGATTTGAACAAGCGCGTTACATGTGTTCAAATGTAAACATTCAGCTCCACAAAGAGTTCTGGGCTTCTTCCAGTCGTGCACACACCCACTATATAAACAGCATGGAGCTGAATTCCTCTTTTCTTTTACCATGAGAATAAGTTCTCTTTTTTGTGCCGCTAATAGAAAGCGTGTGAGTCATGTATGTAGACACAACCAATCGTCCCTCCTGCTCCTATTTGTATCCACTCCGCTAAACCTGATGTTATGCTAACACTGCAGTGTTTACAGAGGAGATTTTCTATACCAGCCACATATTTTTACATGAAGATTACATTTTTCTTGTGTTGGTTTAGCTCATGTTTGCTACTATGAACGGTGCAAGTTTCCTATTAGTATTAGGAAAAGTATTAGGATTATAACTGTACTGATAGTGTAGTTGTTGCTTATCAAAACCATAAACTGTCAATGGATCAAAACCGAGTTTCGGCCACTCGTGGGCAACAAAAACAAAGTGTAAACACAACACTCGTGTAATGATCACCTTTTAAGTTTGTAGAGCAAACTTGTCGTCTTATGTCCATCTAACAAATAATATTCACTCTCCTTTTAACTCTATTTTTGGTCTCCACCAAATTCTGATGGAAGTCTCTTTAGCTGCTAAAAACGTCTTCCATATTCACAGAGCGAATGTTAACATTGTCAGTCAGCTGCTTCTCTGTGGGCTGATGATTCTCAAGTGGTATTTCTCTGTGGGTTTGTTACTACAAGCAATTCCTTTCACATTAAAATAGTCATGTGAGCAATTGTTAATACAAAAAATATTTATAACGGTCACTTTAACTTTTGCTTGTATTTGTAGCACTAATTTATTAAACCATTTGGTGCAACCACAATTTAGAGACACATTAACTTGAGCTGTCAGCTTTTAAACTGAAAATGTAACACTTCATTTATAGTGTTGTCTTTGGATCAAATTGTAATTTGTTAGAACCACACCAGGGATCATGTCTTCTGCATGAGATAGCATGAACCTCTGAATCCTTCCTGTCCCCCACTGACAGTCAACACACACATATATATATATTCTTTTAAAAATGACTATTCCATACCTAAACCACAGCATTATAATTCCTGCTGTCACAATAATGGCCTCCTAAACTTAATGAAGTAGTTCTTTTAACCAAAAACACAATGTTTCCCTCCACACTCAATTCAAACACCGAAAGTATAGCTTCAGCACTGTATACCCTCTCTCACAGTTTCTGTCAAAGTTCCTGCAGTGGTAGAGGCTGAAAATGGTGTCATTCAATTACAGGACCCCTGTGAAGGCAGGGAAATTGATTTTTCTACATTCTGGTGTGACACTGCACCATCCCTCTCGGTTTCATCAAAACCTGACCAGAGATGTCTGGGATGTCATGGTTTATGGATCTCCAGACACTCTGATCTGATCACCAGACATGTCAGGAGACAGTGGGACTAAATTGTCCTGGAGTTGTACCGAACTGTCTTAACCTTTTAAGTAAGCTCTGAGTAAATATTGCGGTACTTTGTGATGTTGGTATTTGCACTTTTGCAGTTCCATGAAGCAAAGCATGGATTAATAAATGCCACAAGATGATGTACTACTTCTTTTTACGCTTGAGACGTTCAGCATGTGGGCTCCCTTCTTTTTTCTTTTGACAAAACATGATATTAAAACCCTCTTCATGTGGTTCAGAGCGAGCAGAGGATCTCAGCGTACATGAAGACGTAAACACTTTGCCAGAGAGGGGCTAAATTGAGCAATCGGATGCTCATATCGTTCAGAACACACTGCAAACAGACGGACAGTTTCTTGGCAAAACGTCTTAGGTGTCAGCCTGAGAGAGAGAGGAGGAGAGAGAGACAGAGAGGCAGAAAAGGAGGGATTGTTGGTGGTGACGGTGATGCTCTCGGAGTCTTTGCCTCAGTGCTGTGTACTGCTATTGTGCATCAGTCATTGCTGGAGGCCAAGCCTGTCAGGACAGAGCACCGTTTCCCCAGAGACCTCAGCCTCTCTGATGGAATGCCCAGGAGGAAATTCAACCCCAAGGCAGGCAGCGATGGATGGACAGACACCCTCCTCTTCCACATTGATATGTTCACCAGCCTTCGAATTCAGAGAGACTGCTCAATCTGATGAGTAACCTCCTGTCCTGCATCACCGCAAAGGTTCAAGACAATTACTTAGATTTTTTTATTTCTCAAAAAAATCTTGTACTTTCATAAAAGACTTATTTTAGAGTGCATCCATGTTTTATTAGTCCAGAGTCATAAGTGTCATACAACAGATCATCAACAAACCGTCCGTCACAAATTAATGCTTGAATGCAGTTAAAAAGTTCTGCATGAAACCTGGCATCATATTTAACAAACAGTAGACCAGGACTTATCAGAGCCATGTTAAAACAGGGTCCAGCAAGGTGAAGGGACACTGCTAATACACCAGTATGCTTCAACACTATGAGTCCCTTCCAGTAGACACTGTGAGAACATGTGCACCA